TATTTCTGGGTATTTGTCTGTGCCTGCTAAATGTGTCTTGAGACAGGGTGATAGGACATGAGACTCTTCATGGATTTTAGAAAATCAGGAAATGCAGCAGTGTGGGGGCTTTTGGGCTGAGGTTGGGGGTAGCAGGTAAAGTCAAAGGACTTTGCAATCTCCAAATGGGTGTGAGGATCCAGCATTTAGCAACCTTTGTTTGGTGAGGCTGAGCCTGGGTTGGTAGAAGGAGACCAAAAGGGTGGTAGTGTACAGGAATTCAGGAGTTGGCTCGCATCGTGGGCAAGTCATCTACCTTTCTGGGCCTCACTTCACCTGTGGTCTGGTGTGATGAAACACAGCCTGCCTTACTGGGTATTTGGGAAGATTAAATAACTCAAGTACCTAACACTTCTTTTGCTCAAAAAGTCTGAACCAGAAGCTCTGCCATTAGCAAGCTGGGCGAGTTTGATCAGAAATAATCATATTTTAAGACCTCAATATTCAGGAGGTATTACTCTGGTTTATCTCTTTTCTCAATGTCTGAGCTCCTTTTTCCCTTTAATTCAGTGTTCCAATAACATCACATAACCGAGATCCTCAGTTTCCTTATGTGTAGCATGGGAATAAAAATATCTTCCTTGTCTACTTCCAGGGGGTGGGGGAGACAGGGAACTGGGAGGGTGAGATATGATGAATATGACCATACTTAAAGCTTCACAGAAATTCAGGAAATGGTAGTGTTGATGCTGTGGTTGATAATTTTTTTCGGGGGGCGGGGAGCAAAAAGGCCAGCATCTATATCAGGGAAGAATGATTGGGGAACTGCTTCTAGATCTGATCAAATAACAGCTATATTTTTATTCACTTGAAAAAAAAATCTATCTTTCTTCTAATGTTGGAATGTAAACTTCATCTTAGTGTCTAAACCTTTCAGCTCCGGATTCATTCACCCAAAACTCTGGGCTTATTTAAGCTGGTACAAGTTGTGTGTGGGGAGCCCAAGAGTTGCTATTAAGGTCATGCAGCATATATGAAGTGGTTGCTGGCTGCTGCTCCAGGCATATGGGAGGTTCATTCTTTGTGTGTTTATCAGAGATCCACCTAGCTGACCTTGGGGTAGGACCAAAGGTTTGGGGGCTACTGAGCGCCACACAGGTGTTGTCATTCAGAACTTTGGTCCTGGGCACAACAGAAGGAGGGAAGTGCAGAGGATAAGGGGGAAGGAGTAGCAGTGGGTAGTATTGTTTTTCTGATGCTATGTTTTTAGGGATTTCTGGTCTGCCCATAGGCTCCTAAGGAAGGAGACAGCAGGTTATCATGCAAAGAGTACCAAATCTAGAAATAGAAGACAGGGATTTACATCCCAGTCTTATCACTTACTGAAGAAGTTATCTTGAACAAGTCACTTAACCTCTCTGAGCCATTTCCCATTTATCAAATGGGGGTCGATGCTGTTAATAGCTAAGAGGGATAAGGAAAGGTTTTATAGACTGGAGAGCCCTTGAGAAGTAATAGTGGGCAGTGCTGTTGTTGCTTTATTACTACTCCCATTGTGAACAGGACATTTTTTTTCTCCAGGTGAAAATGAGGTCAGGGTACTTAAAATTCCCTGGTGGATGGAGGTAACTCTTTAAAAGAAACTGGATATTAAAAAAAAAAAGAGAGAGAGAAAGAAAGAAAGAAAAAGAAAAGAAAGAAGCTGGGTGTAAATAGAGCCTAACGCTTGAACATGGTGCAAGTGTTTAAGTTCATTTTTTAAGTTTATTTGAGAGAATGCATACATGTTACATGTGAGTGGGGGAGGGGCAGAGAGAAGGAGACACAGAATCCCAAGCAGGCTTCACACTGTCGCGCAGAGCACCATGTGGGGCTTGAACTCATGAACTGAGAGATGATGAATTGNAATAGAGCCTAACGCTTGAACATGGTGCAAGTGTTTAAGTTCATTTTTTAAGTTTATTTGAGAGAATGCATACATGTTACATGTGAGTGGGGGAGGAGCAGAGAGCAAGGGAGAATCCCAGGTAGGCTCTGCACTATCAGTGGAGAGCCAGAGCCTAATATGCTCAAATTCATGAAACCATGAGATCATGACCTGAGCGGAATCAGACACTTAATTGACAGGCACTCCTTTTTTTTTTTTTTTTTTTTTTAAAGTGGTGCAAGGATTTCTGAATCAGGTGTTACCTGGGCCTGCTTCTCATCCTTCTCTAGATGCTCATGCCTTAACTCTGCTTTTTCATGAAGATCAGACTGTTATCTGCCAGCTGGAGTCCTAGGATTCTCAAAGACTTGCTTCAACCCAGCAGCTGGGAATTTGCAAGCTGGAGTGGTTGGGAGGTGTGAAAGGGTGCAGGGGGTGGTGCACAAGCACAGGGTTGAGGAGCAACCTGCCCTGATGGCTTTGACTGTTTCACATTCGGCTTATTAGAATTCAGGCTACTCTGAACTTAGTGCCAGCTTACCCCAGACACCAGAACACAGGACACTGGCCAGGCCTCAGGGAAGAGTAAGAAAAACTTTGTAGGCGTAGAGACTTTTTTTTCCCTTTTTAACTTTTATACTATGCTCATTAAACCTACTAATCTGTGGGGTGGCCCCTTGGTCAGTTTGGAGATGGGGCTAATACCTCAACACTAGCAAACTGAGATCATATATTGACTCTGACAGTGAAAGCATTTTAACCATCTGTGTTAGGAGCCTTAAAAAATGACCATGCCCTTTGATTAAGTAATTTTACCTGTGGGACCTTAACCCAAGGAAATAATTTGAGTTGCGGGAAAAGCCTGTACTAAAAGATGTATAGTGCACCTAAAATGTCCAGCAGTAGAAGAATGTAAATCTTTTTAGAATATAAGCACCATGAGGTAAGGAGTTTCTGTTCACTCTGTATCTCTAGCACCTAAAGCAGTGAGTGCCTGGTGTGCACAGATGGCCAATGAACATTTTTTAAATGGTTATAGAAAAAAAAATTTACATCCATATGATAAACTATAACAAGTTTAACCTACTATCTGGAAGTATAGCATTCCTGTGAAACCTTTTGTAAGACAGAATGGTGTTAAAGCAGCAATTACTGTAAATTATATGGAAAACATTTTGAACATTCCCAGATTCCCCAAAATAACCTCTGAGGCTTTTTTCTTTTTTTAATGTTTATTTCTTTAAAAAAATTTTTTTTCAATGTTTTTATTTTTGAGAGAGAGACAAAGTGTGAGTGGGGGAGGGGCAGAGAGCAGGAGACACAGAATCTGAAGCAGGCTCTAGCCTCTCAGCTGTCAGCACAGAGCCCAACGTGGGGCTCGAACTCACTAACTGTGAGATCATGACCTGAGTCAAAGTCAAATACTTAACCTACTGAGCCACCCAGGCCCCCCTCTTAGGCTTTTCTGGTATCTTTTCTGGACACATCTTGTTAATAGATGCACGAAATAAATCGAGATAAAAGACAGATGCTCACAGACACAGTTCAGAGTGGTGGCAGTTTCAAACTGCAATGCTCAGTGTAGTTCCTAGGTAGGGAGCTTGGTGGTGCCACTCGATTCTGCCTCTATGAGGGCTCCCTGCAAAGCAAACACTGAATGCTACTTTTGCTTTTCAGCTTGTTTCGTAAGAGCCAAAATTATCTTCGGATTTCTTTCATTTAGCAAAAACAGGTACTAATGTAGGTCTTTCCTAAGTGAAGTGGCATAACATGAACTTTCAAAAAGCAGGGGACACCTGGATTCAGCTATTTCAAATGAAAACGTCTTAAGGACACAGGAAATTTTCTACATTCATAGGATGTGAAAAAAGCAGGATACAGATTTCTAAATACAGAAAAATCACAGTTTTTGTTTTTTTGTTTTTTTTTTTAAATATTTTTTATTTATTTCTAGGAGAGAGAGAGAGAGACAGCGTGAGCAGGGGAGGGTCAGAGAGAGGGGGGGAGTCACAGACTGAAACAGGCTCCAGGCTCTNGGGGGAGTCACAGACTGAAACAGGCTCCAGGCTCTGAGCTGGCAGTCAGCACAGAGCCCGACGCGGGGCTCGAACCCACGAACCGCGAGATCATGACCCAAGCGAAAGTCGGACGCTTAACCGACTACGCCACCCAGGCGCCCCAAATCACAGTTTTTTTAATAGGGGAAAAAAAACTAAGGAAGGAGAAGATACCCAGGTTTATTTCTAGGTGGTGAGATCATGAGTGACTTTTTTTCTTTTTCTAGTTCTAAAATTCCTAAAAGAACAGTGACGTTTTGATTGGAGAAACGTTTTAAAATATAGTCTTTGAAAAAGCAGGACACTGGGCTAGTTTATTCATTCAGCAAACCAGCAGACTCGAGCCGGCTCCTCCTCCCTTGCAAAGAACCAGGCAACCTTTGTGAATACACAAAACACCTACACACTTTGGTCGTGTCTGTCAGCTTGGTGTGGAAGCTGATCCCTCCTAACTTCAAAAGGGTGATAGAAACTCTGCAGTGTTGAAAATTGTGCAGGCCATGTTGCAGAGACATGCCCATGCATTTATATCCCATCATCGAAGTGAAGGCATTTTATATTAGGGAAAAGAATTTTAAGAAGATAGTTTTTCTGGGTGAGTGGTTAATTCTTGGAATTCTTTCCCTGGTTGATGGTTTTGGGAAGCTGTTGAAAGTACTGTCTGGTTTCCTTCATTCTTGTTTTAGCTCATGCCATCCTAAAGTAACTTTTTGCTCGGCAGTTCAGTTTGTTGGAGTAGGTACTTTAGGAAATGTCTCTCTAAAACGCAGTGCTCTCTTGGAGCCAAGACTTTCCTAGAGTTAAAATCCCCGCATCGTAGGTGGGCTTTGTTTGGCACTTGAGCTGGAAAAGTTCTTGTTTTTTAAATGCAACTGAGTTCTGACAAATTATGCGTCTCAGAAGAGAGACCCACTCTCTCACCCTGGGAGGAATCTGATGATCCAGGGGTCTTCAGACATTACTGGCCTGTTGTTTTGTCTGTAATGCTTTCCATTCACATGATTTCTCATTCATTATCTCTCTTTCTTTCTCTATAGCCATAACCAACAGACCACAGCATTCAGGCATCCTGTGAGTGGGCAGTTTTCTCCAGAAAATAACGAATTTATTCTTCAAGAAGAGTAAGTACTTCTATATATTCTACTTTTCCAAGCAGAGTTTGAGAGCTTAAAGGTGTTTGCTGAAAACAAAACTTGTTGAACTTTTTTCCTTTCTCAGATAGAGGAGCTTGGAGTGGGTTGGTTGATACAAGGTGGAATGCAAGGATTTTGTTTTCTAATCTCTGGACGTCTCTAAAGGGAAGGTGTGAAAGTGGGGACATGATACGGGCTTGTGCCATGATTGGTACTGTCAGAGCCTGTTACAGACTCCTTTCCCTGAGTGAACCATCCCCCATCAAGTATCATCTAGCACACTACTGTGCTCTGAGGGGACCCACTCATCTGGAGTGAAGTTGCCTTAAATATAGCGTCACACCATACTGAACCAGCTGCCCATGGACGTCTCAAATAAGAGTCCGAAGCCAGGGCTTAGAAGGGAGGAGGGCTGTGGCATCCATTGTCCCTAAATGTCTAGAGTTCTTGTTGCTTTTCCAACGTCGGGACTTTCTTGCTCCTCAGTCCTAGTTCAGCAGGGTCCCTGGGATGCTCTGAGGTAGGTGCTACCACTGAGGGCTTGACTACTTAAAAGCGCATGTACAGCCCAAGCAAGATATGTTCTTCTCCCAGAAATGAAGGAAGAGCAATGTATGCAAGTGGCTTTGTTCCCTTCTGCTCATCTGAGACCATTCTGTTTGAAGAAAATGATCCTGTTTGAGAAAATAATAGAAACGTTGACTTCCCCCCTTTCTATCATTTCTGTTCAATCTCTAGACCAAATTTAATCTTAAATTATCAGTATTCATATTTTTACAGCATTTCCCTTCCTCAGTACTTATACCTTTAAACTTTGGGTTATGGAAAATTTCAAACCTATGCAAAAGGAAAGAGAGAGAAATAAATCTAATGTATTCATCTTCCATCTTCAACAGTTTCCAAAATATGCCTGATTTTATTTCATCTATAGCTCCCCCCCACCACCTGGGTTATTTTGAAGCAAATTTCAAACACATTATTTAATTCCTACAGTATTTTCAGCTTAGAGTCATTATCTTACAGAAGTTTTAAAGCTAGAAATCTTTAATTATGATATGACATTCCTTACATGTTTACTCTGTTCTGAGGGTTTTACATATCTTATTTAACACAATAATCCTGAGAAATAGATCATCATCATTGTTTTGGAGATGAAGACACCATGACTCAAAGAAGTTAAGTCACTTGCTCAAAGTTGCATGGCTGGAAGTATTAAAAAGCTAGGATGTCACCCCCACTTGATCTCTTTAGTTGGGGCTAATCCTTGGCACTAGTCAGAGACTACTTACTAAAGTATTGTTGTTATTATTATTATTATTAATTATTATTATTATTTTAAGCAGGCTTCATGCCCTGTGGGGAATCCCAATGTGGACCTTGAACTCATGACCCTGAGATTAAAACCTGAGTTGAAATCAAGAATCAGATGCGGAACCGACGAGCCCCCCAGGCACCCCTACTTGCTAAATTATTTTGATACTGGGGCCCATGGGGCATGATGGCCAGTCTGGAGTTGGGGTTTGACTTTGAAAATATTCATACTACTAGAGAGTGGATGGAAGGTAAAGATGGTCTTGTCTCCTGCATTGAGATAGAACTGGTATGTAAAGACAGAAGCAGAATGTGGATTCTCCACATTCCAATTCAGAATGAGTTTGTTTATAGAATCCTGAAGGTCAGAAGCTCTTGGGAGGTCAGTAAGTTTAGCCGCCTTCCTTAGGCAGCCTAGAGACACAGGTGCCTGTCATTTTTAAAGGTCTGGATGGAGAATCCATTAGAACACCTAGCTTGGGAAGTTTTCAACTTTCATAACAGCTTCTGGAGAAATGCAGATTTCCCATCACTAAACACCCTTGTCTGTCTGTCTGTCTGTCTCTGTCTCTGTCTCTCTCTCTCTCTCTCACACACACACACACACACACACACACCTCCTTTTCCTCAGGGTTAAGACTTTGTCTCTGGCCACTTCTGAGATGGTAGCCTCTTTTCTCCTCCCCAAATATCTCTATAGCTAATCTCAATTCCATCCAGTTTCCAAAGAAAAGATACCCCTTTTTTCCAAGGGTCACTTTCTCCCTCTATAGATCTCATTTTCTGAATGTTCTAAGGACTGCTTGCTTGTCTTAAGCAGTGGGTGCAGTGTTGGGGTGGCCAGACATTCCTGGAAGCAGGTACAATGTGCTTTAGGCATTGAGAGGAAGCGAGGATTCCTGTGAATTGATGTGATGATTCCTGCACTTATTAAAAACTTAGTAAGTGCCTGTATTGTGTCAGAGGCTGTGCCAGACTGCAGTTACAGCAGCAAGAAGATAAATGTGGTCCTGTCTGTGAAGAGCTCATGGTTGTGTAGGGAAGATAAATAATTAAACAAGAGCTTACAAATGTGATAAATGTTCATGGTAGAAAAAACACAGGGTTCAAAGAGAGTTGAAAGAAAAGGGTTCTAACCCGGCTTAGGGATTGTGTGAGGATTCTTCATCCTGGAAAAGGATGTTGTTTAAATTGAGACTTGTCCAGTCAAGGCGCCCCAACCTGAGCAAAGACCTAGAGGGGAAAGAGGGTAGAGCATGGAGGATCTATACTAGTTGAGTTGGAATGAAAAATGAAGCACACCAGATGGATTCTGGAGATACTTGGGAGGGAAAATTGACCGGACTTGGTGATTGATTGGCTGTGATGGGGATGAAAGAGAGGGAAGACTTTCCTGAGGTGTCTGGTCCTAAATTGGAGGAAGGGGAGATTTAGATAAATGTAGATAAGTGTACACGTGTGTGCGGTCTTTCACAGCTGAGGGAAGGGTGACTAGCTTTGATGGGGTCAGAGAGCAAGAGGGACTGACTTGTAGCAGAGGTTTGCGAAGGGGAGTATGGTGATAAGGTGGGAGAGGGAGTTGCAGCCAAGGATCTAAATTGCTTCCTCATGAAATACACCCAGATTTATCCTCTGGTGGAGTTCTGGAGGGTGAGTGAGGCATGATTTCACCTCACAGAAACCCAGTTTTAAACATGCTAACAAGTAAGGTCCCTCTTTTATTTCATTGGGGGAGCTTAATTTTGTTGTGTAGTGTGTTATGTGGTGAGGAGAAAAAACTGAGATGACCATTTGTGTGTCCTTGACGCATGAGCTCTCAGATTAATGTGGTGGGTGGAAAAAGGAAAACTGGCTCTTTTTTTTTTTTTCTTCTCTACTGTAAAGAGTGTCTGTTAAGGCATCATTGACTCCTTTTGCCAGAGCCTCCACTCTGAGTTCTTCTTCTTCTTTTTTTAAATGTTTATTTATTTATTTTGAGAGAGAGAGTGTGTGAGTGTGTGAGTGGGGTGAGGGTGAGCAGAAAGAGAAGGAGAGAGAGAGGGAGAGAGAATCCCAAGCAGGCTCCACACTGTCAGTGCAGAGCCCAATGCAGGACTTGATCCCATGACACTGGGAGCATGACCTGAGCCAACATCAAGAGTCCGATGCTTAACTGAGCCACCTAGATGTCCTCCCCCCCACTCTGGGTTCTTGAACTGAATCCTTCCAGAGCAGTGGTTTTCAGTGTGGTCTCTCAGCCAGCATCACCTGGGAACTTGTTAGAGTTGCAATTTCTTGAGCCCCATTCCAGACCTACTAAATCAGAGTCTCTGGAAGTAGCACTCCATAACCTGTATTTTAACAGGCCATTAGGTAGTTCTGATTCAGGTAAAAGTTTAAGAACCAGTGAACAGCTTGCTAATCCCTCCTAAATTACTCCCAGATTCTTCCTTTCATCTTTTAAATCTCCTCCAGATACCTATCATTCTGGGCTGTGGTGACAGTCTTAGATGGATTTTAGTCAAATAATCGTGGGCTCCTTCTTGTGTGGGAAGAAAAACAAAAATGGTGGCTTCCTTTAAAGCATTACTGTGCAAACAGGTAACATGTCTCCCCCAGTGTTGGCAGGTGGGGTCTACCTGAGCTGCTTGGTGTCACAGGTACATGCCCATCGGAACATGATTTCCCACCTCATAGATTGGAAGCAGGGAGAAGAGAAATAATGTAAAAGTTATGATCAGTGGATCCAGAGGACATGAGCTCTGAGCATTCTAGTTTCTGTGTCAGTAATAAACAAAATCTCAGTGATGTGAAACAATTAAGGTTCATTTCTCACTTGTGCTCCATGTCCATCACAGGTCCCCTGAGGGACTCTGCTCTATCACCTTTACTGAGGGAAGCTCCATATCTGTGCTTCCATGATTGGTAAAGGCAAGAACAAGGGAACTTGTGAAGTGTGCACTGCTCTTTCACGTTTCATTGGCTAAAGCAAGTCACGTGGCCACCCCTAACTTCAAGGGGCCAAGGAAGTGCATTTCTACCATGTACCTGGGAAGAGTATCGGAAATATTTCTTGGCCATCACTAATGACTACACTTAATAATCAGTTTAGATTTATTAAGGGAAGCAGGACCTTTTGAGTCTGTCACTGACAAGTTTATTTTGCTGCATGATTAGAGGGTTTGCTTTCTCATTTCACTTTTTCTCTTTGTCAGAACCTCTAAGGCTGACAGTTATCAGCCAACAGGTCCTACAGCCTTGTTCCCCAGGGGACACGTCTATACATCCAAGCCAACAGTCATGTGGAAATCCCACTTGGAAGAGCTAATATGAGGGGCACCTGGGTGGCTCAGTTGGTTAAGCGTCCGACTTTGGCTCAGGTCATGATCTCACGGTTCATGGGTTTGAGCCCCATGTCAGGCTCTGTGCTGACAGCTAACTCAGAGCCTGGAGCCTGCTTCAGATTCTGTATCTCCCCTTCTCTCTGACCCTCCCCCTGCTCACGCTGTCTCTGTCTCTGTCTCTCTCTCCCCAAAATAAATAAAACATTAAAAAAAAATTTGGAAGAGCGAATATGAGCTCAGCTGCATTAATAAAAGTACAATATGTAGAGAAAGGAAGACAATGATTCTTCTGTATTATGGTGTTTGTGGACTACTTCACTCATTCATTCCAAGTTCGTGGAGCATCAAGGACAT